TAAAACATAGTCCTTACGTCAGATAGAACATAGAAGGCTAAAACCAGAAGGAGCCTTAGAACATAGACTGTATAGCCAGAAGAGAATCTTGCAATTGTCTAGTTCAATATGCTCATTTTACAGATGAAGGAAACAGGTCCCAAGAAGGCTAGTGACTTGCCTAAAGTCACTGCTTCTAAATCTATGAAAACATTTTGAAAAGTTAAGTGCTCTAAATGCCAGGAATTATTATTATTACCATTGTTTTTATTAATATTAGTCCATGTCCAGAAGAATTTACATAACTTATATTTAAATACCTATAAGTATATATTAGCATAAATTTATAACCACTTATATGATCATAAAGCACTTTATTTTCATGATTTCTTTATGAGGCAACCCATCCTTCACACTGATGTCTGACCTTCCTTCCTGTTTACAGATCTGGGCATGTCCCTCCTCTGCTCATAACCCTCCAATAGTTTCCTATTGCCTTCTGAGTAAAGTTCAAATTCTTTAGCCTGGCATTAAACGCCCTCCACCATCTGACCCCATCTTACCTTTTGAGTCTTTTCTCCCATATACTCTAGGCTCCAACCAGCTAGAACACTTGTCATTCACCATGAAGAGGCCCCCCACCCTGCAATTTCTTCTTTGCCTTTACTCATGCTGTTCTTATCCCATACCCTTTCCACCATCTGTGGCTGTTGAATTTCTATCCACCTTTTAATGTTCAATTCAAATGCTGAGTTATGCAACTTTCCCCAACCCCCCAGTCAGTAAGGATCATATGCCACTCTTTATTGTTGTTGTTGTTTTAGTAAATTGTATTCTATTTTTTCTAATTACATGTAAAGATAGTTTTCAACATTCATTTTTAAAATTTATTTATTTAAGTTTAGTCTTCAACATTCACTTTTACAAGATCTTGAGTTTTAAATTTTCTCTCCCACCTTCCTCTCCCCCTCCTCAAGATGGCATGCAATCTGATATAGGCCATACATGTACAATCTATTAAAGTTGGTCATCGCACAATGTTGCTGTTACTGTGTACAACATTCTCCTGGTTCTGGTCACTTCACTCAGCATCAGTCCATAAAAGTCTTTCAAGGTTTTTCTGAAGTCCACCTGCTCATCACTTCTTATGGCACAATAGTACATTCATATACCACAACTTGTTAAGCCATTCCCCAGCTGATGGGCATCCCCTCAATTTCCAATTCTTAGCCACTAGAAAAAGAGCTGCTATAAATATTTTTGTACATGTGGGTCTTTTCCCCATTTTTATGATCTTTTTGGGATACAGACCTAGAAGTAGTATTGTTGGATCAAAGGGTATCCATAGTTTTATAGTCCTTTGGGCATAGTTCCAAATTGCTCTCCAGAATGGTTGGATCAATTCACAACTCCATTAATAATGCATTAGTTTGACATTCATTTTTTATAAGATTTTGAGTTCCAAATTTTTCTCTCTCCCTCTCACTCCCCCCCCAAGACAGCAAGCAATCTGATATAGATTATACATATGCAATCATGTTAAACATATTTCCACATTGGTCATGTTGTGAAAGAAGAAACAGAACAAAAGGAAAAAGCCATGAAAAACAAAAACAAAAATGGAAATAGTATGCTTTGATTTGCATTCAGAATCCATAGTTCTTTCTCTAGATGTGGACAGCACTTTTTGTCATGAGTCTTTTGGAGTTGTCTTGGATCAGATGTCTCTCTTGATCCCACATCTCTTAGGGAACTGATCACATGTGACTTAGTAGTGTAGTTGTTACTGTATTGTCATACACTCCTAATAAACTGCAAATTTCATGAAAGCAAGGATCATGTTTTAGTGCAAGCTTTGTATTTGCCCCAGTGCTTAGCACAGTGCTCTGTAAACCGTGGATAATTAGTAGATGTTTGTAAAATTGAATTCCGTCATTATCCTTTTTTTTTTTTACAGATGAAGAAACTGAGGCCTAGAGAGATGAAATTACTTTAAGTGTCAGAACTGGGACTCAGACCCTGGTTTAAGTCCAGAGGTCTTCCCACAAAGTCTTCCCATACCACATGTCATCTTTTCTTCTCTCTGTTCTCTTTCTCCTCTTTCCTCTCTCTCTTTTCCTGAGAGCCTAACCAGTCTATCAACAGCCCCATGGGCTTCCTTCAAAGATAAATAGCTCTCTGAGATTTTCACTGTAAAGGGGCTATTAGGTTAGCACTAGGCAACCTGTCTAGGGCAGCTAGGTGGCACAGTAGATAGACCACTGGACTTGGAATCAAGAAGACTCATTTTCATGAGTTCAAATCCAGCCTCAGACACTTATTAGCTGTGTGACCCTGGTCAAGTCACTTAACCCTGTTTGTCTCGGTTTTCTCATCTATAAAATGAGCTGGAAAATGAAATGGCAAACCTCTTCAGTATCTTCCTTAGAAAACCCCAAATGAGGTCATGGATAGTTAGACACAATTGAAATGACTGACCAGCAACAAAAGGTAACCTGTCTTCTCACTACCCTTCTAGTGAAAATGGATTTGTAGAGCATGGGAGTGATTTGGGACCTTTTATTCTCAGGCCTGAGTGGCTGAGACAAAGGCAGGAGGTGTGACTCTCCGTTTGAAGATAAGGAGCAATAAGACAGACCACTTCCTTTCATGGCTGTATCTAGAGAATTATAAACTAAAAAGCAGGTCCTAGAATCTTCTTATATTCTGAGTGGGTCAGATCTCCTATCGCTAGCTGAGTTCAGTGCTGTGCGTTACACTGTAGGAAAAACATGGACAAGCTGGCATGTGATGGGACTAGAAACCGTGTCAAATGCGATGAACTTAAGAAAAGCAGGAATTAACCATTCTGGAGAGCAATTTGGAACTATGCCCAGAGAACTGTGCATACTCTTCGATCTAGCAATACCATTATTAGATCTGTACTCCAAAGAGATTTTTTAAAAGGTGGAAATGACCTATCTGTACAAAAATATTTGTAGTAACTCTTTTTGTGGCAGCAAAGAAATGGAAACTGAGGGGATGCCCATCAATTGGGGAATGGCTGAACAAGTCATGGTATATGATTATGATGGAATACTATTATGCTATAAGAAATAATAAGCAGGCTGATTTTAGAAAAACCTGGAAAAACTTACATGAATTGGCGAAAAGTGAAGTGGGTAGAATCAGGAGAACAATGTATACAGTCACAACAATATTGTTCAATGATCAGCTGTGAATAATTCAGTTATTCTCAGCAATACAATGATCCAAGGCAATTTCAAAGTACTCATGGTGAAAAATGCTATCCACCCCCCGAGAAAGAACTGGTGAAGTCTAAATGCAGATCAAAGCATACTATTTTTCACTTTCTTTATTTGTTCATTTTTTCTGTTGATATGTTTCTTCTTTCACAACACAACTAATATAGAAATATGTTTAACATGATTGTAATATATAACCTATGTCAAATTGCTTACCGTCTTAAGGAAGGGGGAGGTAAGGGAGAGAGAGAAAATTTGGAACTCAAATTTTTTAAAAAATGAATGTTAAAATTGTCTTTACATGTAATTGGGAAAAAATAAAATACTATTTAAAAAAAAGAAAAGTGGGAATCTTAGAGAAGAATTAGGAGGTACCAAGTATCTGATTTTAAATTTCTAAAGGACTGTTAGGTGAAGGATATTATATCCTCTTTTGTGTGTATCCACAGGTCAGAACTGAATCCAAGCTGGAGTAGGGGAAGTCACAGTGAGGCAAATTTTGCCTCGATATGGAAGAACTCCCTAGCAAGTGAAGATGCCCCAGAATGGAAGGGAGATTATGAGCTTCCTGTCACTGGGAACATTCCTTCAGAGACTGGATGATCCCTGTCATAATAGAAATAGAATAGAAATAGAAAAAATTCTACCATGAAGTGGTTGGTAGCTGGACTAGGTGATCTCAAACATCTCACCAATCCCAAGATTCTGTGATTCAAATATAACTAAACGCTAAATTGTGTATGGGCAGAGTCTAAGTTCTGCAGGAATCCAAAGGAAGGAGACCTAGCTACAGGGCCAGGAAGGACTTCTTAGGGAAGGTAGACCTTGAGCTGGGTTTTCACCCTTATCCTTCTGTCCTCTTTCTTGATCTCCATGTCCCTGAGGAGATGCTTCCTATAAGAATACATTGAATATCATTTACCATGTATCAAAGGGGCAGCTCAGGTGGTGGGTATAGAGCTAGTCTCAAAGCCAAAAAGATCAGAGTTAAATCCTGCCTCAGTAGTTATATTCTACTAAGTCATGGTAGCTGTGTGGCCCTCAGAAAGCCATTGAACTTTAGTCTGTAAATTGCAGAGAGGATGCCAACATGCATATATGAGGACATATACGAATAGGGAGTTTTCTTACTCAAATGGAAATTCCCTATACCATGAAACCATAAGTCCAGTCTCTATTCCTATGTGCCATAGAATCCTAGAATGTTAGAACTGGAAAGGACCTGATAAAGCTCCTCTTCCAACCCCTGCCTTTTATAAAAGAGAAAACAGAGCCCCAAGGAGAATGACTAACCCAAAGTCACACAGCTATAAACTAAAGTTTAGGTCACATATAAATTGTTAGTATGCTGAAATATGCTTGTGGACTTGCTGAGTTAACAAACTTAACTATAAACTTGGGTCACTGAAGCCTGGGCCCCTCAAGCTTCCATATCTTTCCCCTGGACCTTGTGTCCAGTGTTGTGGCCAACACCTCCCTTCTGGACCTCTGTTAAGATGGTAGAAACTGATAGACCCCTCTCACTCATGTCTCTTGCCTTCCTCCGCACCCCCTGACCCATCTGCCCATCAGACTACTGTCTCTGACAGAGATAAGATGACCCCACCTCTTTGGGCTGTCCCCTAACCCCTACTGGCCAATGGCTAGGGGCAGCTGTGCATGCCTTTTCTGGCCATAGTCCTATATAAAGGGACCCTTGAGGAACAGATATTCACCCAGGTTTGTCCTGAGCTTCTACTGCAAGCAGAACTCAATCTCAACCCAAACCCAGCCACCATGTCTCTGACCAAGTCCGACAAGGCTATCATTGCTACCATGTGGAGCAAGATTGCCACACAGGCTGATTCCATTGGTACTGAGGCTCTGGAAAGGTAAGAGGGGGCACCTTTCCCATTCATAATAACATTAGAGATTGGGGTTTCTTAGCCCCCTAGGACCATCAGGGGATTCAGACAATAAGTCTACTCCTACTTACCTTTGGGCAAGATAGAAGTCAGAACACTGTCCTTTCCAGGGCTTGGTACAAGATTAGGGTTAAGGCGCTGAGTGGAAAAAGAGTTAGCTAAAGTTTATGTTATTTGAAGAGACTACTGAAAGAAAATGAGTTTAAAGCAGTATCATCAGCTTTGTATTTCCCCATGCTGACCATAGCACTTCTGTGCACATAACGATGAGTTGAGCAGGACGGAGAACATGGAACCACTTGGGGGATGGGATGTCCCCCGCAGCCTTCTCCCACACTCAGCTAAGATTCTATCTTCTCTTCTCCCCAGACTCTTCACCAGCTACCCCCAGACCAAGACCTACTTCCCCCACTTCGACCTGCACCATGGCTCAGCCCAGCTGCATGCCCATGGTGCCAAGGTGGTTGGTGCTATTGGGGACGCCGTCAAGAACATTGACCACATTGAAACTGCCCTGTCCAAGCTCAGTGAACTCCACGCCTACATCCTCAGAGTGGATCCTGTCAACTTCAAGGTGAGGATTTGGAATCAGGAAGGGCAGTGGATTTGATATCCCCAAGGAGTAGGGGTCCAACCCCTGGGAGAACATCCCCAGTTCCCTATCCCCCTATGTCTCATCCTTTCTCTCCTCAGTCAATCCCACGATCTCATCCGTTTCTCATCCCATCCCCTGCTATATTGTCCCCTGCTTTTCTAGTGTTTCAGCTCCTTCACTTATCCAGTCTCTATTGTATCACCTCATTCTTTTCTTTTGCAGCTCCTATCTCATACCTTCTTGGTCACCGTGGCTGCCCACTTCCCTGCTGACTTCACTGCGGAAGCTCACGCTGCCTGGGACAAATTCCTGTCCATTGTGAGCTCAGTCCTGACTGAGAAGTACAGATAAGCCCCCCGGACCTAGAGCCCTGAGAGGACAGAAGGGGCTGTGTGGTCACCAACCTCCTACCCTAATCCAGGCACCCTTCCTTCCTGGTGCCTTCCCTACAGGCCTGTCCTCTATGACCCTCAAATAAATGGATAAACTTCATCTTCTGTCTCTCTGGTTATTACAGTCCTTACTTTTATGACCCTTGGCATAGATCCAAGGCAGAGATGGGAAAGGAACGGCCAGAATAGCAAAATTTTATCATGATTTTAACCTTGTAAAAGTGTTTCTTCATCCATTATCTCACTGTTATCCCTAACCATAGATTTTTACCATCTAGGTCAGAATAGAAAGGAAACTTAGGACTTATGGCCAAAATATGGTGTGTGTGTGTGTGGGTGTGTGTATGTATGTATGTATGTATAAAATCTAGGTGCATGTGACCCAGATGTGGGTAAGCTCAATGTGCTTCTGTGGGTGGATCTGATGTGTATGCATAGGCATGGCTTCTCTGTCTGCTACTCCACTCCTACAAGCTGGACCTGCCTGTAGGGCACCTGATAATATTATAATTAATATAGGAAACTATTATTCTCATAATACTTCAATCTTGGGATTGGGAAGGGAAGAATCTTCCCTGAAATGATATAGATTACCTCTCCATGCCTTCTAATTTTCACCATTCTTATCCATGCCTCCCTTTAAATCCTACCTTTATAAAGGATTCCTTTTTTATTAGACTGTGATTCCACTGGTAAAGGGAACTCTTGGGGAGGGAATTCCTGCAAATGCATTCAGGCACCTGCTCTACAACGTATACTCTTAGAGATGGGTCAGCTACTGAGGGATCAACTAATTTACCCAAGGTAATGCTGCTTCATTTGCTTCCTGGGGAAGTCTTCCTGATTCCAAGGCTGAGTCTCCCTCTCTATCCACTATACCAGGCTGCTTCTCATAAAGGATTAACTCAATGTAAAAAATTATTTTGACAAAATGTTTGTACTTATTTTACTGATAGCCTTTCTCAAATGCTCTTCCTTTGATAAATTTATTGCCATTTCATTCCATTTACAGTTGATACCATTTTTGTATTTTCTAATTCCAAATCCTTAATATGTTTTAAAAACAAAAAAAGAGAGGAGTATTGGTGACCTGTCAAATATTTTGATCTTAAAATATCAATTATTTTTCAAATACATTCATATAGTAGAAATCCTATGAAAGGTAACAGGGGTGGGGTAGAGTAGAATTATGGTGAGGTATTAAACCTATATGCTATACAAATGGTATACAGGTATACTCATACCACACCAAATAGCATACTCATATATATCTTTCTGGTTTTTCACCATCTATTGATAAAGAAGGTAATTACTTCATCTTAACATTTTACGTGCACTAAAATTGTTTTATTTCAGTTTTAGTAACCTGAAAGCTTTTAAAATTTCAAAATGCAATTTACTATATGTTGTAAACAGTCTGAATTCAAATTTACTGGGTGCTAATTACAAGAGCACAGTACTATGAATTTTTTTTTAAAAAACCTTACAAATAAAATAATAGAATGGTAACTATTTCATAGTTTGTTTTCAAAAAAGAGCTTTCAAAATTTTTCAATATGATACCATAATTTTTTTTCCATTACAAACTACTTGATAAAGCCTCCATAGTCCCAGGGCCTCAAAGTTCCAGGGGATCTGAATTTCCACTGTGGTTGAGTACAAGTCATAGCACATTCATTAATTGAGACTTAGAAGGGCCCTCGGAGGTAATCTAATCTGACTACCTCATTTTACAGATAGGGAGACTGAGACCCAAAGATATGAAGTCATAACCAACAGTACAGAGACAGTAAGCATCAGAGCCAGGATTTGTTCCTGCTTCCTCTGGCTCTGAATCTTTCCACTATATTATATTATCATTGTCAGGATAGGCCTGGGGAAGGGAGTGAGTCTCAGAAAATATGAATTGGTTGGCAGATCATTAAGGACCCCTTGGTGAACTGTAAGATTACCAAGAACACCATATGGAGAATTCTACCTCCACCCCAATTAGCATCCTGGTACAGAAGTGAACATTCCAAAGTAACAACCTTTCTTCCCCTCCTCTCACCAAAAAAAGACAAAGCTGTAAGGTGAACAGGTTTGTTTTCTTTCTCATCCTTTCCATACTCCCTTTCCTCAGCGTCCAGGAACTTCACATTGCCTTGAGATGACTAAGGCCTCCCACTTCTTTGGTGCCCCCAAGGGCCTAAGCAATATTAGACTTTGTCTTCTGCCACTGTGACCATCCCACATCATGGTTGCTGCGTAAACACCCCTTTCCATAGAACCAAAGAATTCATGGCAATTTAGCAAATATTTGTTGAGCATCTACTTATGCAGGCATAGTTCTAGGTCCTGGGGTTCCAAAACCAAAAATTAAACATTCCCTGATCTCAAGAAACTTATATTTCACTAGGAAAAAAACCACACATACACATATAAGGAAATGCATGGTATTTGAGGAAGGAGAAAGCACCTATAACTGGGAGAATCAGGGAAGGATTTCCAGAGAGGGTGCCACCTGAGGGGAGCTTTGAAGAACATGAGGATTCTGAGAGGCATAGCTGAAGATTAAGGATATAGTCCAGGCATAGTAAACAACTTATACAAATGCACCAAGGTAGGAGATGGCCTGTCCAGTTTGGGAAATAGCTAGTAGTTCAGTTTGACTGAACTTCGAGTGTATGAGAGAGAGAAGTTTGAAATAAGGCTGGAAAGTTAGAGATCAGATTGTGGAAGCCCTTAAATGCCAGGCTAAGGGTGGCACGATGGACAGAGTACCAGGCCTGGAGTCAGGAGGACCTGAGTGCAAATCCAGCCTCAAATACTTATTAGCTATATAACCCTAGGCAAGTCACTTAACGTTGTTTGCCTTAATTTCCTCATCTGTCAAATGAGCTGGAGAAGGAAATGGCAAACCACTCCAGTATTCTGCCAAGAAAACCCCATATGCATCCTGTGCTGAGCTAGGCACTAGGGTTATAGTCCCTGCCTTCAAGAAACTTACATTCTATCGGGACACAACATACATACATACATACATATATATATATATATATATATATATATATATATATATATATATATATATGTATATATAGACATATACCAATAAATACAAGGTAATTAGGAAGCAAGGGGGAAGGCACCAGAAGCTGTAGGATCAGCAAAGGCTTCAGACAGAAAATGGTGAGTCTTATGAGTCTTGAAAGGAGCTAAGAGGCAGAGGTGAGGAGGAAGTGCATTCAAGGCATGGGAGAAAGGCAATGCAAAGAGACAGAGATGACAGATGGAATATAGTATGTGAGATATAGTAAGAAGGCCAGTTTGGCTGTTCTAGAGGAGACGAAGAAGAGAAATATGTAATATGACTAGAAAGGTAGTCTGGGCCAGGTTGTGAAGGATTTTAAATGCCAAACAAAGGACTTTGCATTTGATCCCAGAGGCAACAGGGAAATACTGGAGTGTATTGAGTAGAGTAGTGACATGGTCAAACCCGAACTTTAGCCATACTTTTCATTCTCTCTCAGTCTCCACACCTAATCACTTTCCAAGTTCTGGCTAGTCAACTTCCAAAATATTTATCAAATCCATCCTCTCTTTTCTATGCCCCAGGCCACTAATCTAGAACAGGTTTTTATTACTTCTCCCCCACCAGGATACTAAGATGCCTGTCTGATTGGTCTTTCTGCTGGTTCCCTCTCCAATCTGCTATTTTCTCTCACCTTGCCTTTTATTGACCACTCCCCTTACTGCTCTTAAAAAAAAGCACTAGAACCATGTCATACCAGGCAGAGTTAGTCAAAAGATCTAGGGATGTGCAGCCTGGAGAAAAAGAGCAACATGACTATGGACATTGCATATGGAAATAGCACCATATGCTTCTATGGATTGATACAAAGCAAAGTAAGCAGAAACAGGAGTGCAATATAAACAATAGCTACAATAATGCAAAAGGCAAAAATAAAACAAAATGGAGCTGATGTCTATTATAATGATCAAGCTCAACCCTGAAGAAAAGAGGAGAAAATGCCCCTCTATCCTTTCTTTGCAGAGGTGGGACACTATGGGTGTGGAACTCTGCATATATTGACAGACTCAGTTGATATGTTGGTCAGTTTGGATGAACAGATTTCTTTCTTTTTTTTTTTATTCTTTGTTCTATTCCTATGATTCTCCAGAGAGAGGGGAGGGAAGGAATGTATTTGGGAATGAGGGTGACATAAAAGCAAAAGACATCCATTTTTTTTAAAGCTTGTCTTTTGGAACAGGGATTATTTCTTTTGCTTGGTTCTAGGGGACAGAAACAAGACCGAAAAAGGGAAGATACAAGGAAGCAAATTTCAGGTCTTCATAAGGAAAAACTTCTTATAACTAGAACTGTCCATCAGTGAAAAGGACCATCATGGAATGTAGAGAGTTCCCCATGACTGTAGGTCTTCAAGCCAAATTTCAATGACTGGTCATCAATGACGTTGAGAAAGGATTAGTGCTTCAGATAGATATGAGTTGGGCTAGATGACCTCTGAGGTCTGTCCCCTCCCTCATTCACCTTGAGATTCTGTGATTCTGATAGACTGATAAAAATTCAATGATAGAGCCAAGATCAGGGCAAGCTGCAATGCCTTCAGTCAAAGAGTTGAAACTCCAACTGGAATGTCAGCTAGCACAAGCCCATACGAGAGGCAGCTTTCTTGTATATCTACAGATGTATCATACAGGCAGCCCTAATGACTCTGTGACTCTGAAGAAACCCAAGAGAGATCAGTCTTATCAATGCTCCACACAGGCAGAAGCAGAGGCGAGAATATACCTTGATATAAGGGGAGGAGCCTGCACTGATAACCAGTAAATAAGAGTTCAGGTCCTGGTTCAGCCACTGGCTCCCTATGTGATTTTCCCTCTCTGGTCCACAGTTTCCCCTTCTGTACAATGGGAGGAATAGACTAGATCCCTCACAGTTCTGACATTCTATGCCTCTTTGCCTAGGGAACCTGGTGCTTTTTAAGGACTGATCAAACTGCTCTACTGCCCTTCCTCACTGTCCAGTCCCTGTCCTCAATATCCCTTATCTCTATTGCTATCAACCTCTCCAACCAAGCCACCACCACAACCATCCTGGCCCATATATCCTCAGAAACTCCTTGAAAAAGCTTGATTTGCACCCTAAAATTGGGGTTTCTTGAACTATAAAAGACACATATATTCCCATTTACACTATTAGATTTTGGTTCAATATGACAATTACAGTTATTCAAAAGTGAGAGTGAAGGTAGCGAGCTCCCCATAATTAGAAATCTTTAAGCAAAATTTGGCTAGTCATTTGTTAGGGATGTTACAGAGGGGATTTCCATTCAAGTTCTGGTTGTACTAGATGGCCTCAGAGGTCTCTTCCAGCTCTGAGATGCTAAGTCAGTAGTTGATCAGCCTATGAGAACTTTCCTTTGTGACAGGAAGGCTAGGGCAGCACTGGATCTGATGACTTTAAGTAAGTCAATTTAATGTCCCTGAGCCCGTTTCTTCATTTGAAAAATGGGGACAGTAATTCCTGTAGTACCACCTGACAACATTTTCGTGAGGCCCATATGAGATCATATATGTAAATACTTTGCAACTCTTAAAAGGTTTTAACTTTTTTAAATGTTTAAATGAATGTCAGTTATTTAAGCCCATTAACTAAAATGTTGGTAGAACTATGGTCTAGACATTCCATAAAGCAATTAGGGACTATGCCCTCAAAGTTACTAGATAGTGCACACCCTTTGACCTGGTGACACCTCTAATAGGCTGATACCTCAAAGAAAGCAAAGAAAGGGAAAAGGATTTCATGTATAAAAATACTTATATTTTTGCGATTGTAAAGAATTGGAAACTAAGAGAGTACTTACTACCAACTGGGAAATGGCATGATTGTTGTGAGGGTTTTATTTGAATTGTTAAATTGGGAGCAGTGGGATTTGGGAAGGAAAGAAAAATTAATGCTTATTAATTGAAAAAAAATTGAATTTTTATATGTCAATTATCATTATTTATAAATCAGGAATAATAGTACCTATTTCATAGGGTTATTGTAAGGATTAAATGAAATTATGCACTTAAAATGCTTTGAAAACCTTAAAATACAATGTAAATGTCAGCTATATTCCTGCCCAACCCCTGCCTCCAGGACTCTAATTTGTCTGGTTACTACCTTAAGGGGTCCTTCCTAAGGCTGGTCACTGCTTTGGCATGCCACTGCTCTTGTGGGCCACATCTTTTACCTACCCTACCCCCCCTTTACTATTTAAAAGTTACCTATCCCCCCCCTCCAATAACCACTTGCCTTTTTCTTAAATATCCCCTTACACAGAACAGGTTCCTCCCAGTCTTCCCAGCTAGGGAAGGAACTTCCCTACCTCTTCAGACATACCTCTTTATAGTCAGGAAGTCTTCCCTGTAATACTCTGCTACAGCATTTTTAGTCTGTTTTCCACACTGCCCACTGCTTCCAGGGTGACAGAGTGGCCATCCACCTGTATGAAGTCCTGGCATCTACTGTATTTGAAGACCCTTGTGACTTGGCAGGGGATCACATATCTGTTACTCTTTCTACCTGGGAGCCCTAGGAATAGACCTCTCCTCAGCACCAGCCCAGTCCTAAGAAGAGGCCAAGCTTCATGGTAGAGCTCTCGTTGACAGAGCAGATTTATTCAGTGTATCTTCTCTGAAGCCCGGCTATGAGCTCAAGTCAGTGCTCAGCAATAGGGAAATATAGAAAAGTATGGTCCCTTCCATTTTCCTGAGACATATACTCCATAACACTGGTGGAGTTCCTTGACCCCGGGCAGCTAGGTGGTACAGTAGATAGAGCACTGGGCCTGGAGTCAGGAAGACCTGAGTGCAAATCCAGCCTCAGAAACTTAGTAGCTATGTGACCCTGGGCAAGTCACTTAACTCTGTTTACTTCAGTTTTCTTATCTGTAAAATAAGCTGGAGGAAAAAAAGGCAAACCACTCCAGATCTTTGCCAAGAAAACCCCAAATGGAGTCACAAAGAGTCAGACTGAAACGATTGAACCTTGACCATCTTTGACTCCAGGAAGAAGTAGGCATATTATGGAAACCACTGGTACCTTTATACCCAGAAGACCTCCCTACACTCTGTCCCTGCCCTCATCCTCTTTAGCCTCTCAGGCCACCTTTCTCCAATTCTCTATCTACACCAGAGGCCATGCCCTGGAAGAATTTCCTCTCTGGTCCCTTCAACCTTCCTGATTATTGACTGCTTCTCCTGGAATTTTATTTTAAGAAATTCCAGCTATGCTTCTCTTCACACTCTTGTCTATGGCTGCCTCCTCCATAGAATCCTTGCCAACTGTCTTCCCCATCAAATTAACTGCATTGTTCGTGGATGGGGTGTGTCAATATACTTCCCTATGGCCCCACTTACCATCCCAGTAACTTTCTCATGCAATTTTCATTACCCAGCTATCAAACTTCTATGTGTGTTGTTTCTGCCATTAGAATATATGCTCAAGGACCTGAGTTCAAATTTGACCTCAGACACATTAACACTTACTAGCTGTGTGACCCTGGGCAAGTCACTTAACCCCATTGCCTAGCCCCCCCCCAAAAAAAAAAGAATATATACTCTTTAAGGACAAGCACTATCTTTGCTTTAAAATTTGTATCCCTAATGCTTTGCATCAAGTTTGGCACATACTAACTGCCTGATAAATGCTTTTTTCATTCATTCAGCTTCATGGTCTCTGACCAGACCCTACCCAAGATTTCTCTCCCATACCTATGCCCAATCTGTCTCCCACCAAATCTCAAACATAGGCATATGGGACCCTGAGCTGCAAGAGTCAGAGAAGGAATCAAAATCTAGTAGACAGAACAGTTCTGTTAGGTACCAAACCACACATGCCCTTTTCTCTTCTTCTTCTCTCCCTCTCCCCTTATACTTCTTTCTTCTCTCTTCCTTTTCTGCTTTCTCTTCCTCTCCCATCCCTTCCCTCTTCCTCTCTCCATCTCTTCCTTCACCCTTTTCCCTGTCCTTTCTCTCTTTCACTTTTTCTCTTCTCTTCTCTTCCCTCTCCTACTTTCCTCCATTTTTTCCTTTCATTCCATTTCACCTTTTTTGGTCTCTTCTTTCTCTATTTCTCTTTCATTTTTTACCTCTTTTTATCTGTCTTTTCTCCATCTCCCTCCTTTTCTCCTCTTCTACTTTTTCATTATCACCTACTTCTCTACTTGTCCTTCTTCCTTTCCTTTTCCTTTCCCTTCTCTTCATGCTATCTGCCCTCTCCTTTTTCAGGTCAATACACAAACATTATGTAATTTCTATGTGCTAGGCACCAAGAGGGATACATATACGAAAATAACAGTTGCTGTCCTTAAGGAGCTTATAATAATATTCATATGCTACAAGATAGAATGAAAGATACAAGAAAGAGGAATCCAGAAAAAAATGTTCCAGTAAAATCTGAATAGAAACAGTTCACAATTCTCTAGTGGAGCTCAGCAAAGGCTTTTTAGAGGAGGCAATAATCACAGTGAACCTTAAAAGAAGAGAAGAATTCCAAAAAGGTGGGGCTGAGGCAAGAGTATATTCTAGGCATGGAGATCTGCCTGGGCAAATGTACAGAGGCGGTAAAGGGCAGGAGGAGATTAGGGGTTCAGTTAGCAGTTCAGTTTAGCTAGAATATAGAAAGTTGAAGGGAATTGATATAAAATAAAACTGAAAAGGAAAATTGGAGCCAAAGCTTTAAATGGCTCTTTTTCCTTCTCCCTTTTTCTCCCTTTCTTCTTTTCCTTTTATAGCTTCCTTCTTTCCCCTTCTCTCTTTTAAGATATTTTCCCATTTTGCTCACCCCAGTCCTTGTTTTTTTTTTCTCTCTCTCTCTCCCTCTCTCTCTCTTCTCCTCTCCTGCTTTCCCTCTCTCTTGCTCCTTCTCCTTTTAGCCCTCAATCATTCCATTTATGGATACTCATTCATCAAAGATTTACTATGACCTCATACCTTGGAGGGACTCTGTTGAGAGACAAAGAAACATAACACAGAAGTCTTGCTGACTGAGAGCTCAAAGATGTCAGGGAGGCACATGTTCTACTGGAAACCACCACAAGATAGCATGGAACTAAACACAAATTGTGCAAACACTACATCAGTTCGGGGGTAGGGGTTCAAGTGAGGGGATCAATATGTGTTGGGGTACTGAGGATGAGCTTCATGAAAGAGGTGGAGAATTTGAGTTAAATCTCCTCCCTCTTTGTGACACCCTTTTCCCACCTATATCCAAAGCCCCCAAGACCTCTCCTTTGGTAAAGACATACACTGTTAATGAGCATATCATGGACTAACAAAATGTTAGTTCTAGAAGTCTCCATATCTCCCCCCAGGACCTTGCGTTCAGGACTACGGCCAACGCCCCCCTTCTGTGCCTCTGTAAAGATGGGAGGACCTGATAGCCCCCTCTCTTACACACCCTGATTGCCTCCCCCACCCCCACGACATCAAGCCCCTAGCCCTTTTGCCCACCAAGTCATTGTCTCTAGGAGAGATAAGATGACTCCACCTCTTTGGGAGGCCTCCTCTTCACTGGCCAATGGCTACGGGCAGCTGTCCAGCTATGTTCTGCCCCTGGCCCTATATAAAGGGACCATCAGGGAGCAGAAACCAAGCTAGGTTTTTCCTGAGTTTTCACTGCAGGAATAACTTGAGCTCATCCTTGACATAACCACCATGTCTCTGACCAAGTCTGACAAAACTATCATTGCCTCCATTTGGAGCAAGATTGCCACCCAGGCTGATTGCATTGGCACTGAGGCCTTGGAGAGGTAAGTGCTCTTACCCCAGGGCCTATGGCCGATCCTTTCACACCTGTACCTTGGAATTTAGGGAGGAGCTATTCTGGGGAGTGTTAAGGAGCCCAGGGACAGGGACTTTGATAGGGATACCTCAGGTTCTTTTTATAAGTTTCAGAAAATGCCTCCTTGCCAGGCTGGCCCTAGCTCAGAACAAGGAGGGCACAGAGCCATATTCTATCTTGGCCTTATAAAGCCTTGAACCTTAGTTTAGGGCTCTGCTTGAGATCACTTCTAGGAAATCAGGACTGGCTTAGACATAAGGATGGTGAAGAACAAGGGATAATTTATCTAACCTTAGACAAATTTCCTCTTGACTTCTCTAGGTCTGGGTTATTTTCCTATTTATAAAAATGATCTCTCAGTTCCCTGTTCCAGCTTTGTCATTCTCTGTTCTTATAAAGTATCTCTTCATAAACCATAAGGTCAGACCACAGGTGAAAAGAGCTTTCAGTGCTATGAAGACAAAACTTACTGACTGCTGTGCTGCTAATACAATAATTTTAACAATCCCTGTGGCCCTAAGACCCTTAATTATCAGACCACAGAAATACTTTAAAAGTCCTTCTAATATATCTTATACTTTCTGATTCTGTCATTCTAAGCTTTATCTTCGAAGGTTTCTTCCAGTTCTTGCATGCTGTATTTTTATTTCAAAATCTCTACCAGTTCTGACATTCTATGCTCTAGAGTTCTATGTCCAATAGCACTTCTTAGTACTGGAAGTATTTTCTTTTCAGGCACTCATGAAGGAGCTAGTGTCACTATGGTTATTTATATTTTAAAGAAGAAAATTAAGTGAACATGAGAGAGATGAAGTGATTTGCCCAAGGTCACAATAAATAGTAGATGAAGAACTAGAATCCTCATTTTTTACAGTCTCTGCAACCTTCTCTTAGACCCAGTTAAGACTTTACTCTCTCTTCTCCTCAGACTCTTCACCAGCTACCCCCAGACCAAGACCTACTTCCCCCACTTTGACCTGCACCATGGCTCAGCCCAGCTGCATGCCCATGGTGCCAAGGTGGTCAGTGCTATTGGGGACGCTGTCAAGAACATTGACAACATTAAGAGTGCCCTGGCCAAGCTCAGTGAACTCCATGCCTACATCCTCAGAGTGGACCCTGTTAACTTCAAGGTGAGGATTCAGTCTCAAGGTATACAGTAGAGGTTACTACTGTCTGGACCCTAGAGAGAGGTAGTTGATCTCCACAAGAAGTAAGAACCCAATTCATGAGGGATCCATTCCATGCCCCTTGTTCCGTAGAGCCTCACCTTCTTTACTTCTCCATCCCCTCAATGTTCTACTCACTTCTTTCTTCCATACCCCAATATCTCACTTCCTTCTGTCCTCCCATCCCTCAATGTTTTACCTCTTTTCTGTTCTAAACACTCAGTAATTCCCTTGTTTCTCTCCCTTGTCTCATCCCCTGTTCCTCTAATCTCTGATATCTAACCTGATTCTCCCCTTTATCCTTTCAATTCCTGCCTTTACCCCCTACCCAACAGTTTTGCCCCCTTCTCGCCCTCACTTGACTAATTTCTTGCCCCACTCATTCCCCTAATCCCCCAATTTTTCACTCTTTTCTCTTTTGTCTTGGTAGCTCCTATCTCACTGCCTCCTGGTTACTGTTGCTGCCCACTTCCCTGCTGACTTCACTGCAGAGGCCCAAGCTGCCTGGGACAAATTCTTGACCATTGTGAGCTCAGTCCTGACCGAGAAGTACAGATGAGCCTTCTGGGACCTAAAGCCCTGGGAAGACAAAGGGGGCTTTGCTGTCATTGAGCCCTGGAGTTTCATCTTACCCTTTTGTCCCTTTCCACGAGCTCCCTTCTCCAATACTGTTCTGTCCTTGATGACACCCTAATAAATGGATAGACAAATGAAGTCTGAGTCTCTGTGTCCATTTTCCTGACCTTTTTTTTTTAATGTTTTCTATTCCAAGAAACCAATTAATGATAAGAGAAAAATCTCAGATCCTTTGGAAAAGAGAAAGTAAGGTGGTAAGATAGAGAATTAAATTCAGAGTTGTGGTCATTTAAGATACCCTAAATCAAGCTTTTTTTTTTGTTTTGGGGTTTTTTTCCAAGACAAGATCAAACCCACTTAACTTAGTAGTGGCCACAGAGGGACTGACAATGTTTTGAAGGGGAATCATTGATGTTAAGGGGGAAGAGTAAGAACTGAGAGCCCAATGGGGAGGGATCAGCAGACAGAGCTAGGAGATAATTGGACATTTGGACAGAGAACCATAGACCACAGAATGTTAGAACTGAGACTTAAAATATAGAACACAGACTATCAGTGCTGGAAGGGACCTTAGACAACCATAGACCACAGAATGTTAGAACTGAGACTTAAAATATAGAACACAGACTATCAGTGCTGGAAGGGACCTTAGACAAAAAATGTCAAAACTAGAAGGGGCCAATGAATTGAGTGGGACAGGAATTATTATTCCATTTTAGTTTCCTCATCTGCAAAATGGAAATAATAATCATTGTACTATCTACTCCATAGGCAGAAAGCTGCTTTGTCACTCATAAAGAGCTATATCAATGTGAGGGGTTAAATAGCCAGCTCTAAGTCACCTAAATAATGAGTGGCCAGACAGGGGGCTTGACTCAAGGTTTCTGTATTTCAGTTCCAATTCTCTTTCCACTGGGAGGATTTAGGGCAGGGAATGTGTATTACAATCCAGTCCTATTTATTTAGCATCTACTTTGTGTAAGGCACAGTGCCAGATCCTAGGCATAGGAAGAGAAAGCAAAAATAGTCCCTGATGTCAGGAATTTTCCATTCTTTTGAGGGGATATAAGTTTAACTATCCACAGGATAACTTGAGGAGGCCAAGCACACCAACATGGGCTTTCAGAAGAGTCCTGAAGGGACTTAGGGATTCCAAGGGAAGAGAGAGCATTGCAGGCATGGGAGAGCAATATGGAATATTGAATTCATGGAACACCAAACCAGTGTGGCTGGAACAGAGGCTGCATAAAGAGGAACAGCTTGAGATAAGCTTTCCAGTCTGACTGGAAAGTACTTCAAATGCCAGTCGTTATCCTCGAGGCAACAAGAAGCTTCTCACTACTCTTCAGCAGGAAAGTACTGTACAGCCTCAAGAAGATTGACTTTGGCAGCTTTGTGGAGGAGAGGAGCTGGAAGTCTAACGAGGGGGCAGTGCCAGTACCCAGGTGACAGAGAGGTAATAAGGGCTGGCCCTGGGGTATTGGTCGTGTGAGAGTAGAAAAGGGGACCAATGAGAGACATGGAGAATAAATAAATAAATATGGAGAATTAAATAAAGTCAAAATTGGCAAAGCTTTGCAACTGATAGGCTAAGGGGGTAGCAGGGGGAGGGGGAGGGAAGATGCAATGATGATTGTCAAGTGTCACACCTGAGTACCTGGAAGAATGGGGGTGCTCTCAAGAAAAGGATTGGATGGGGGAAAAGATACTGAGTTCTCTTACTGCCTTTATAAACATCCAGGCTCTAGTCCCAACTCTGATTTACCCTTGGCCCAGAGTAAGGCAGATTTGGGCAGGACAGCAGGATTAAAGATGAGGATTAGGATGTTTTCAATTCCAGACCAAAGAGCTGAGTCACAAGGTGGGGACTGTAGGCAAGGGGAAAGTTTCAGGTGGGGAGAGAAGTGGCCAAGAGATTCTCTCTGGAAAAGGCTGTATTTGAAGTGTGGGTTGTGATCTTGAGCCCAGGCCTGGGAAGGGGGGAATGCCACTTGTACGTTTCCTGTGAGAGGCCAGGGCCCAGGACCAACAGTACAAAGATTACTTGGCTGAGGACCCAGGACACCTTAGCCCTTGCTGTATCGGTTTCCTGTCTACATGGCCCCAGGCAAGTCACTTCCCCTGTCTAGGCTTCCATTTTCCCATCTCTAAAATGGAGATGATAATCAGACTTGGTATGAAGACAATACAAAATAGAGTGGTTAGACAGAAAAGCAATTGTACAGACTTTGTGGAGGCATGGTCTGGACTTTAAAAAATGGCATGTGGCCAACTGCTTTGCAACTCTTTATTACAGAATTGTCTGGGGCACTGAGAAGTCAAATCACAGCATGTTGACCCAGTCAGCACATGTCAGAGGAAGCATATTCCAAACACCGAGGGCAGCCCTCTAGTCACTAAAGAGTCACTATACTAGATATGTGATATATCCATCCATACATAATACATATATACATATTTATGTATATATAATATTAAATATATTATCAGAATTGTTAAAGAATTTCAGCACTATAAGGGATTTGAGAGCCCAGAATGTTAGAAGTGAAAGGGCCTTAGAATCCATCTAGTGCAACCCTCTCGTTTTATAGATGGAGAAACTGTGGCTCAAAACAGTCAAGAGACTTAAGGCCATCATTCCAAGGAAAGAGTAGCCAGTACCTCTCCTACTTTTTATTGGAGGCTCCCAATAGTAGGGCCCATTTCATGTTCATCTATTCTCTAATTCGTTCCTTCACTAATTTATACAGTGATTTATCAGTTCGATCATTCATTCATTTATTCATTTCCCTGGAGCATAGAATGTCCAATTAACTGGGGGTCACTGTTGCTTTAGTAAGGAACTAAACGGTTCCCTCCGGAATCACAACAGGAAGAAAGTGGGTTCTCTGGAGTCCAGAAATGCATTAGCTGGGCGGGAGAGAAGAGATAGGCAAGCCAAGCTTGGCGCGGTGATACAAAAAGGGCTCTGATAGCGATCGCCGTGGGCGCGGGTTCGAAGCCATGTTCAGCGCCGAGGAAAGGGGCCACATCGTCCAGATTTGTAACGTCATAGCTGGCCGTGAGGCCGTCTACGGGACGGAGTTGTTGTAGAAGTGATGCTCCGACAGGCGTGGGGGAGGGAGTAGGGTGGGACGGGGAGAGGGGCGAGGGAGGGCGCGAAGACCGCCGTCCTCTAGCCCAGGGGATGAGAGGGAGGGGCCTAGGAGCACCGGGCTAGTGCCCCAGGTGATCTTGGTTTGGAGATGGGGGGACAGCTCCAGGGGTGACTGCCAGGGAGAGCTCTCTCAGGGACTGAATGAGGGGCTGGAAAAGATTCGGGCTCAGGAAGGAAGGGAATGGCCCTAAAGTGACAGAGTCCAATGGCTGGGGGAGGGAGGAGTACCCAAGAGAAGAGAAGAGAGATGAAAAAGAAGTCCAAGGTCTCCAGACTGATGGGGAGGATGCGGCTAACCAGAGCTAAAGGGATGCGCATCGGGGGGAATGAAGAAAGGGGAGTTGCCCCTGGGAAAGGTTTAAAATGAGCCAAGTTAAAGCAGCTAACTTTAAGGAAGGACGCTGGGGACAGGCGTTCCGAGAGGGGCAGAGTCTGACCTCTAGAGGAGACCAAGCCAGGGGGAGTAGAAAGAAAATCGTGGGGAGACTGGTCGGCGCCCACCCTTCTTCTGCTCACATTCCTCCCTTTCCTCTACCACGCAGGCTGTTCACCGTACATCTCAGCACCAAGAGCTACTTTCCCGCACTTGATCCCTGGCCTGGAACGAGTTCAGATGCAGAACCATTGAAAACAGATATTGATGGCCGTGGGCGGGGCGGTGGGTCACGTGTGCTACCTGCGGGCTTCCTTAGGTGGTCTAGCTGATCTGCACTCCTAAGTTCTAAGGGTGGAACAGACCAATTCCCGAGTGAGCCTAAGAGCTCTATCGTCCGTCCATCCATGCAAACATTACCAGCTCACCAGCCACCCTGACACCCAATTGTCCCATTCCATCTACTCACACACTTATTTATCTATGAGCCCATGCATAGGATAGACACTGTAACTAGGAATCTCATTGATAAGGGAACCCTTGCCACCAATGAAAGACCATCACCTTCTCTCTTTTTTTGAGGCAAACCGGGTTATGACTTGCCTAGGGTCACACAGCTCTGGGGTGTCTGAGACCTGGGTTTGAACTTAATGAAGATGAGTCTTCCCCATTCCAAGCCCAGTGCTCTATCCACTGAACCACCTAGCTGCCCTCCATGTCTTAAGATAGTTGCCCCTAAAGCAATCAAGGGTTGAGTGACTTGCCCGAGGTCAGCCAGTATGTGTCACAGGTGAGACTAGAATCCACTACGCAGTGCTGCTTCTCCATAATTATATGGAAGCTATCCATAACAGTACATGGTAGTAATTAAAATTAACATTAATATAGTGGCTTACAAAGAGCTTAACATAGATTTTCTCATTCATCCATCCACTCATCTAAGAGTTCAGTATGGGGAAATCTTTTTGTAGAAGCTCCTCCCAGGAAGATGATTGCCAGCCACCATCTCTGACTTTAAATAAATTCTAGCTAGTTTACAGAGGCACATAGAGGTCTGTACACTTGTCTAGGATCACCTGGCTACTAAGTGTGAGCAGTGGGATTTGAACCAGGGACAGTCTGACTTTAAACCCAGCATTCTGCCATAAACTGGCTCAATCTGGAGGTTTCAATTTACACCAAAAAAAAAAAAAGGCAGGACTCTAGGCCTCTTAACTCATAACTCAGTGTTCTTTCAACTTTACCACACTGCTACTGATAGCAGGAAAAGTCTTGGCCTTGGGGTCAGGAGACCTAGGAGGAGTTTGTACCAATAATTTGCCTTGTGACCTTGAACAAGTCATTTTTGCCATCTGGGATTCAGTTTCCCCATCTGTCTGTTGTGAGGATCAACTAAGGATGGGAAAGTTATTTATATACTGTAATGGATAATTCTTATTATGACATCCCTGAAGTTTTCCTCCTGAAATTAGCTCTTCCTAATGTCACTCAGTAGATATCCAAGAGCATCTGTACTCCATTGCCCTCACACAACCTCCTCGAACCCTATTAAGGGTTGGGGAGTAGGGCTACCTC